AGAAAGAAAGAAAGAAAGAAAGAAAGAAAGAAAGAAAGAAAGAAAGAAAGAAAGAAAGAAAGAAAGAAAGAAAGAAAGAAAGAAAGAAAGAAAAGGAAAGAAAAGAAAAAATGATCTCTCAACACCTATTATGAGAATTAACTCATCAGGACCAGCAGATTGGTAATGATTACGTTGCAAGACTCCCACGCAGTGGACCACAATTTGAATCCTGAAACCAGTGGCTTAAAACTCAAGACAACCGCCTGGGTATGCATGCCCAAAATCCAGAAAGGAAATTAGAGAATGGATTGGAGTGTGCCCATCCCCCTGGGGGGTGATTTCTTGCTTTCTATCTGTCTTACTCTGTCCCTCCAGCTAGCACACGCGCCCTATAGCAAAAATCTCTCAGGAAAAAGGGAGTGAGAGAATTAACTTATCTATTTATTAAAACACAGATTCATTGGCCCCACTCCAGAACTAGTCAAAACGTAGAAGGGACTACAGAATCTGCGTTTTTAACAAGCACATCTAGTGATTCTCGTGCACTTGAAAGTGGAAAGTCAACATTTCCCAACTCTTCACATAGAAATAGCCACCAGTGTGGCACATGGAACTGGCCCTTCCAGAGGGTGGTTCAGTCTCTCCGTATTGACCCTCCGCTGAGCAATACACCTCCAAAAGTAAAGTATCAGTGTGTAATAATGTAGCCTCCCATACATACACACACACACACACACACACACACACACACAAATCCCATATATTTTAGCGTGGGGCCCTTTATCTTCCTAAAGACCTTGAGGGGCCAGTCTCTCGCCTCTAAAGAGAAATAAAAATCTCTTTGGCGCTCGCACCTCTAACAGAGCCCGACCGCAGCCTGCGCTCGTCCAGCACTCAGTCCCTAAAATAGGAAGGGACACAACTATAGCATTCCTTGGGCGCCCTCTTTCCCATACAAAAGCTCTCGGGCTCCCTGGTGCGTTCCGGGGAGACCCTCCCCGAGTGCGCTGCCCCGGCAAAGAGCCCAGGTCCCCTGGCCAGTGATCAGGCGTCAGGCACTGCCTCGCCCCGTCGTACCCGCGGGACGTCCGGACCCTCCTCTGTCCGAACCTAACGCCCTGCCCCGGCTCGTCCTAACCCGGCAAGAGGGTCTCAGCCCGCCGGCC